TATAATAGCAAACAAAGAGAAATCTTGTCCTTGGGAATTCACAAATGAAGTCTCTGTATTCTTCAAACTATATTATAAGCCAAGGTTTAGAAAGTTCTTGCTCCTCTACTCTAACTTCTTGTTTTCTTCAGTATGCTGTTTCTCCTCAGCCTTCTCGTTCGTTTAACAAAAATGCATTATGTTCCTCCAGTTATTTTATAGAAAATTTTTTTTAGAAAGAATGTTAAAACTCTTTATCAGTAGATGTAATTATGATCAGTTTTTATAGCATGTGTATAACTTATAACTAATTCCATTCTAAAGAGGAGAGTCAACAATACAAATTTACTTCCTAGCTTGGGATTCCCTTCTTCAAACATTTAAACATTAGACTGTTCATTTCTCCCCTAGAACTTTTCTTTTGTTTTAATCCCTGAAGAAGGATATTGTGCTTGGTAGAGGGTCAGGAAAAAACGGGAAGAGTCTCCCCAAAATAGATGGACTCAGTGACTCCAACAATGGGCTCAAACATAGTTGTGATGGTGCAGACTGGGCAGTGTTTTGTTCTGTTGTACTTACGAGTTGGAACCAACTTGACAACACCTCACAGCAACAGCAACAATTTCGGCACCTTTTTCTGAGTAAACTGGAGTCAAACAATGCAGCAACTTGATTATGTGAAATAACTCAACTTAGGGCTTGGAAAGAGAGATCCATTTTCTACCTTCTCATTCTTGTCTTTTTGTTGATACAGACAATACTGTCCAACAAAGGCAGCATCGATGCCCTCTTCAACGTGATACCTCCCACTTCGGCTGTGGGCGCCTGCTTTGTTTTCAGCCCCAAAGAAGGCATCATTGAACCAAGCACAATCCAAGCTATCCATATCTCCTTCACTTCTGACATCCTGGGGCACTTTGAAGAGGAGTTCCTGATCAATGTCAATGGGTCACCTGAGCCTGTGAAATTGACCATTCGGTAAGGTCTATCTATGACTATTATGGAAACGAACTGAAGTTTCTTACCTCCTTCTTTCCTGAATTTCAAAACAAGATTATGTCTTGGATGCCCATAATCGTAGTTGTGTTGAAATGAACACTTCAACATAATGGAGCACTCTAAATTTCCACCAATGTTTTCTTAGTGAAGATGTGTACATTTTTATAATATGAATATCGTTCCTCTCCTTGAGATCTATTTTTCTATAAGTTTTCACCTTACAAGGATTTAAACCTCAAGCTATTTTCTAGTTATTCTGTTTTCAGCTGTTTGTTAAGTGCCCTGGAGTTGGTTCTGACTCACAGTGACCCCTGTCAACAGTTTCTGAGGCTGCAAATCATTGTGTGAGCACAAGGCCTCATCTGTTTCCCACTGAGCAGCTGATGGGCTCAAACCACTGACCTTGTGGTTCGCAGTCTAATGCTTTTTCCGCAGAGCTACCATACTACCCTTAGTCTATTTAGGAAAGTCATTGATTAATGACACCTGGAGAAAAGCACCTGCTTGCCTAAACTTTGGTTGTTATTACAGTTTCTCTAAACCTTCAGCTCTCATTTTTATTTTAAGGAAATGCTTTAAATGTTCTTACCTATGATGCCTGAAGGCATTACAAAGGAGTCGACATACAGTGTCAGTCAACCAGGAGTAGGCCCTGGAAGCTTTTGTACTAGAGATCTTTTTGTGGCTTCTCTAGCTGCTTGTGATAATTGAAAGCCATTAATATCAGAGTCTGTCCTCAGATTTGGGGGAAAAAAGTTCTCTGTGATCAACCCATTGATTCCTGGTACTTCGAAGGATCCTGTCTTTAGAAAACATTGTTCTGATCCTATATTTGGATTCCCACAGTAACAGGTTGTTAATTGCCATTGCTAGCAGGACCTCCCTCCATCTACAGCTTAGGTCTCCCTAGGAATCTGGGTGTAGCATAGAAAAGAGACGACATATTTTGGATCCTAGGAAGCTTTATTAATCTCATATCTACTGGAAATTCAGAATCTCAAGATTAGCTCAAAGGTGCTAACCATTTCTTTTCAAACCCTTCCACCTATGTATCCTTAACAGTTAAAGACAGTGAATGCATGTGCCTCAGGGGATATGTGGTTTGGCCTAGGAAAGCTGCCACAATTATAAACTTTTTTTTTTTTTCAGTTTCAAGATTTAGCCTAAGCTTCATATGACATTTGTATTCTCTTCTATAATAATACATATGTGTTGGTTATAATAGTAAAAATGGGGTTGCTTTCCAAATATTTGAATTACACTGAATCTTCAGAAAGTTGGATCGTTCTCATCCTGGCGAATGATTGTCGTCCCTCAGTGATATGTGGAATATGAGAAGGATAGAAGTACATTGTCCTATTGTGTGGCCTTCAACCCACCTCCCACCTTCACAAGTCATACCTCATGGCATGGACCGGGCACATCATCATCAAACAGTTTAAAGCCAAAGAGATAGTCAACCAGGAGTAGGCCCTGGACAAGTCATACCTTCACAAGTCATACCTCATGGCATGGACCGGGCACATCATCATCAAACAGTTTAAAGCCAAAGAGATAGAATCTTGAGAGCAATGAAAAAATTCCTCATGTAAAAATGATCATCAGCTATGATGTAAAAATTTATCTATGACATGGTTTAAACCATATAACTGTAAAATACAGCTATGACTGACGGCTTATTTCTCATCAGAAGTAATGTGAAGCTGAGGGCAGTGGGTTGACACAAAGTACTGAAAGAAAAAGAATGTCGACCAGGAACTCTGTATCCATAAAAACTATCCTTCAAAATGAAGAAATTAGGACATTTTCTGATGAACAGAAATTTGTGGGAATTCATCACTATCAAACCTGCCCTGCAAGAAATACTTGGGGTTCCTTCAGAATGAAATGAAAGGACACTAGACTGTAACATGAAGAAGTAAGGTAAACAGGTAAAGGTAGCTAGCTACATAGATAAATATAAAAAACAGTATAAATGTATATTGAAAATGTTTCTAATTCCTTTTTTCTCCCATCTGATTTAAAAGAAAGCTGCATAAAGCTTTAATTGAAAATCCGTGTTGATGGCTCTGCAGTATACAAAGATAGCAGTAAGCACAAAGGAAGTAGAACTAATGGACGCTATACAGAAGCAGAGTGTGGATGTAATATTGAAATTAAGCTGATATTAATCCAAACTAGATAAGCACTGGACTGTGAGCCACCAGCCTCTTGCAGAAGAAATATGAGGCTTTCTGCCCCCACAAAAATTTATGGTCTTGGAAAGTCTATACAGGGTCGCTGTGAGTCAGAACCAACTCAATAGCACATACCAACAACAGTAATCCAAACTAGATTGTCATGAAGTGACATGTTATTTACAATCCACAGGAAAACCACTATTAAAGTAACTCAAGAAAATAGAGTAAAATAAGTCGCAAGAGAATTAAAATGATATACAGAAAATGCATATTTAACACAAAAGACAAAAATATGAAAGAAAAGAGGGCCAAAAAAAGATATAAGACAGAAAATAAATAGCAGAGGAAGAGGTAAATCCTACCTTTTCAGTAAAAGTAAATGGATTAAATATTCCAATTTAAAGGCAGAGATTGGCAGAGTAGATTAAAACAACATGATTCAAAGAAGTACTATCTACCAAAGACACAAATCATGCAAAATAGAACTAGAGTGGTTATTGACATCAGACAAAATAGACTTTAAGATAAAACTTGTTATTAGAAAAAAGATCTTTTATAAAAGACGAAAGTGTCAACCCACCAAAAGGAGATAACAACTGTAATCGTATATGCACCTAACAACAAAATACAGAAACAAAAACAGAGAATTGAAGGGCGAAATAGACAACTTAGCAATAATAGCTGGAAGCTTCAGTACTTTGCCTTCAGTAAGAGATACAGCAATGAGGAAAAAGATAATAAGGAAACAGAAGATTCTGACAACACTATAACTAGACCTAACAGATACATAGGCAGGTGACAAACAAGATTCATTCCTTTGTCCTTAAGAAATGTGTAGGTCAGTCAAACCAGGTACCTTCAGTTCTTATTTAGCCTTACTTTAGTGCAAGAAAAGGCTCAAAGGTGATTGTGTTGAAGAATGTCTTGCTAGCAGGGGCTAGCTCAAGGAGCTCTGGTAGCTTAGTGGTTATGAGTTGGGCTGCTAACCTTAAGGTCAGCAGTTCAAAGCTACCAGCTGCTCTTGGCAGAAAAATGAGGCTTTTTGCTCCTGCGAAGATTTACAGCCTTGGAAACCCTATGGGGTCGCTATGAGTTGGAACCAACTCCATGACACACCACCACCACCAGATACTAACTAGGTCAGTCATTTCAAAATGAGGGCAAAGTTATATAACATTAAAGCAGAGATTCCAAGATGGACGTGCCCTGCTCAAAGATAGTGGTGTCCCCCTTAAAGATGATGGCCAACTGAGTCACTTGGTGTGCCACTCTGCACAGTCCTGGAAACAGTCTAACCTCATGCATCAGACTCCTGGAAGGACTCACTATGCTCTTTTGAGTCTCCCATTCCAGGGCTTCAACCCAGAAATTTTCCCCTTCCATCACTATGGCAAAGCACCCAAATTGTCAAAATTCTAATCTGTTCCTATTTCACTTTATCAAACATGGCAGAACTGGTTCTGAGCCCTGAATTAAAGGGCAAGTACAGTTGTCCTTAAATAGGACAGTCATAGTCTGGGGACTGCCTTTATACTACCCAACAACCACAGAAAACACATTCTTCTCAAATGTACATGAAACATTCTCTAGAGTAGATCATATGTTAGGCAATAAAACAGACATCAGTAAACTAGCAGGACTGAAATCAGACAAAATATGTTCTTTGGCCATAATTGAATGAAATTGCAAACCAATAACAGAAGGAAATTCACAAATAAGTGGAAACGAATATATACTAATATATAAACCAATGGACATCAGCAGATTCATGGATAAACAAAATGTGGTCTAACAAAATGGAATCCTCAGTCCTAAAGAGAAATGAAATTCCATGTGTACCACATGAATGAACCTTGAAAACATCTTGCTGAGTGAAATAAATCAGTTGCAAAGGACAAATACTATATGATGATATCACTTGTATGAAATAAGCATATATATAGAAAGCAGAGATTAGTTGCGGTTTATCAGGTGCAGGAGGAAGCAGAAAAGGAGCAAGTTTTGCTTAAGAGGACATTGAGCTTATGTTAATGGTAATGGACTAACCTCAGAAAGGATGGAAACTCTGCTTGTCCATCTTGAAGAATATAATCAATGTCACTGAGTTGTCCAAGGAAATGCGACTATCTTTTAATTCCATTTTTCCAGACTTTTTGAAACCCCTTTGAACTTGTAGAAATTATTGAGTCGGGTTTCCACTCCAAATAATAGGATTTAGGAATCGCTGTGTGCTGCTGTAGGATAAGCAAGATTGGTTTGAACTGCAAGGCCAATGGTTCAGAATTCACCAGCCACTCCTAGGAAACCCTATACAGGATCACTATGATGTAGAACCGACTCTACAAAATTTAACAACAAGCAATCTCCCAGAATGCAGCTCACAAAGGAACATGGACTCATTAGTACTCTAGTTGGCCTGTTGCCATCAAGTCTCTCATCTATACTCTGGACTTTTCCATTTGTTCAAATTCCAATTCCTTTTTCTTATTTTGGATTTTTCTGGACTGCGAACCACAAGGTCAGTGGTGTGAGCCCATCAGCCATTCTAAGGGAAAAAGAGAAGATTTATACCCTCATAAAGAAGCTCTGGTAGCGTAGTGGTTTCGAATCAGACTACGAACCTTAAGGTTAGCAGTTCGAAACTACCAGCTGTTCCACAGGAGAAAGATGAGGCTTTCTGCTCCCGTAAAGATTTACAGCCTCAGAAACAGTGTACAGGGTCGCTATGGGTTGGAATTGAGTCGACAGCACTGTACAACAACAACAGAAACTCTATTCAGGTTCACTCTGAGTCAGAACCAACTTGATGGTACTTAGCAGCTATAATGTTGGATTTTCGTTTCTGGTCTACCAAAGGGAAGGTCAACCTAATGGTTAAAGGGAAAAAAATGTTTCGAGAACTTCATGCACAATCTAACTACAAATTGCTAAGAGAAATATAATTGTCTAAATGTCCTTCCCATTTCCCTTTTTTTAAAGTTCACTGTTCACCTGTCAACAAATGTTCTTGTATTTCAAACTATAAATAATAATTCTGACAACTGGTAAATATTCTTAAAAATTATTTAAGAATAAGTGTTTAATTATAAATGGTGAAAACGTGTGTGTAGTTATATATCATCTGTTCCCAGTCCCTCAGGTCAATTCCGACTTCACTTGTGACTTTATTAGGAATACTTTCATTAGCCCACGACCCACGAAATCTTTATAAAGTTTATATTTGAGAGTCTGGCATTTTGTTTTCTATTTTGTTGTCAGATACTCTTTTTTCAGTAGTACATAATTTTAACTAATGTTCCTTGAACTATCAGGAAAATAAAATATTCTTAGTGTCTCTATCTATTCCTCCAGTTACATACACAGTCTTTGAACTGACTACATAAACGGCACTGTTAAATTGATAGGATTTTTCTAAGTACATATGATTGAATGGTTTTGTTTCCTTCTCTTTCTACATCCACAGTTTTATTAAGTTTGAACCACTTCATCAGTATATTTTAACTCATTTTACAGCTGCTCCTCACTCATCAGCTGTCTCATCAGCCAACATTTCCCTTTTATGATAACAGTAAAAATTCACTACCCAACGATTTTTTGCATTAACCAGCAGAGCTGGGTTTCCTGGTAAAGTTCCTGACCCACAGAGCCACTGATGACTGCCAGCTTGCAGCTGTAGCAGTCAGCTCAGCAGAGACCTGTTACCAGGCTCATCCTCACTGCAGGAGCTGCCCTTGCAGCACTTCACTTGAGAGAGACATATGAGGGGAATTGGACTGAGCCCTTCCAAGAAGGGCCTGTGAGTGGCTGGAGGGACCCAGGAGGAGGGTGGGGAGGTAGCTGCTGCTATTCTCCTCTACTCAGTGGCCCTTGAGGGACCAACTTCTGCAGTAGGAAGAGTACTGGAAGTAATTCAGGGCCTGGGAGCTGCAGCAGAAGATGGCTGTTCCCCTCGTCCCCTGTAATCCGGGTTACTGAGTTCTTCTTCTAAGCATTTAGTTTCCAGGCTGTTGACATTGGATTCCAAGCCCTCCAAGACCATTACTTATTTTCCGTGGGGTCCTCCCTAGTCTGCAGGGTGGCAGCAGGTGTCTGGAGCTGGGGAGGGGTGGCTGCAAGAGGCATGGGCCGCAACCCTTACTAACCATCTTGACCTCTGGCCCTGCCTGTTGCCTGAGCCCCAGAACCACTAACTGTGCTGGAACACCAGCCCCAAGAGCAGGCCCTTGGGGTCCAGAGCCCAGCAGTGCCAATGACACAATAGTTCCAAGGATCCAGGCTCCATCCTTCTTGCATAAAACCTATTTTGCATAATGACCTGGTCTTTGGAACCTAACCCTGGTGCTAAGTGGGGAGTAGGTATGCCTAACATAAAATAACGCAACCAGTTTTATCTCTTTGTCTTTAAAATGAGAAATTCAGCTGACCATTGTGTTGGTATGTGGCACAATCTTGGCAGAGTCTGTCCAAGTATTTAGATTCTCTGTTAAAATTAATCTGATCGTATCTAAATCCAGATGTTACTATGTAGTCACAATTCCTACAGTTAAATGTGCAATTCATTTCTGGTTCTTTCCATTTCTGCACTGATTAAATGACTTCTTCGTACCATTTTGTGAGCTTCCTTCCTGCTTTCTTTAGACTTTTTTTTACATTCAGACACTTTTGATCAATTTGTTACTTTTGCCCCCCAAAGATTCTTTGTAATGAATCAGCATCTCACCTGTATTCTATCTTGACTTCAATCTCCACTGGATCCCAATTCTTTGCTGAGTAACAGCCACTCCTTTTGAAACCATATCGCATCATTAACGACAAAATAAAATGGATGGTCATGAGAAAGGCTTTTTGGGCTTAAGCTGGCTGCATTGAGTCTGCATTGATCACCCCTCTGACGTTTGCACCAGCCTTTCCACATTATGGTCAGCTCTGCAGCAGCCGGAAGCATCACCAGACAACCAGTAGATTCAGTGCAGTGCAAATGCACCAACATCTGGAGCTTTGTCAGTTAGATTCATTTTTAGCATATTTTCTGGTATCTGTGTGTCTGTAACTTATTAAAGCTTTAGTGCACATATGAAAGATTATTTCCTTTTTCACCTTGGCTTAGATATTTTAAAGACATGACTTTGTTGTTGTTGCTACATGTTGTCAAGTCATGACTCATAGCCACACTGTGTAGGGTTTCTTAGAAGCAACTGGTGGGTTTGACTTACTGACCTTGTAGTTAGCTATCCAGTGCATATCTTACCGCACCACACCAGGTCTCCAAAAAAAAAAAAAAATGATTAGAGAGAAATCATTGTAGCTCTGGAGATAAATGAGATTAAATAAATAGTTGATGTATTAGTTTTCTGTTGCTGCTGTAACAAATTATCACAAACTTGGTAGTTTAAAACAACATGATAGTATTACAGCAATCCAACACTTAGCTCTTAATGTGCTAACATCATAGTGTCAGCAGGGCTGCATTCCTTTCTGGAAGCCCCAGAGGAAGATCCCTTTCCTTGCCTTTCCCTGTGAGGTTGTCCACATTTTCTGTCTTCCAAGTCGGCAATGGTGGGTCAAATCCTTCTCACACTGCATCACCCTAACCTCGTCTTCTGCCTTCCTTCTCCACATTTAAGGACTCTTTTGATTACATTGGGTTTACCAAGATAATGGAGAATTATTGTTATTAAATGCCTTCAAGTAAGTTCCAACTGATACCTTGTATGGGGTTTCCAAGGAGCAGCTGGTGGGTTTGAACTTGTGATTCACAGTCCAGTGTTAATCCACAGATCACACCAGAAGTCCGACTGAGGGTACTTTCCCAATTTTAAAGTCAGATAATTAGCCATCTTAATTCCACTTGCTACCTGAATTATCTTTGCTGTGTAACCTAACATAGTCACAGGTTTTCAGGGATATGCCAGGGGTTAGGACATGGAAACATGAAGTCCGCTACACGTTTTACAACATATCTGTTACTTGTTTTAACATGGAGACATCACTCCAAGAGCTGGAAGCCTTGCATTGAGAGACATAGGTCGATATTTAGAATCTGTCAGACTCACCCAGTCTGATCTTCTCTTTTACACATGAGGCAGGGACTGTGAGGCCCACAGAGGTCAAAGGAGTCACTATGAAAGCATGGTCCAGCAATCACTGGTGTCATTGAAACTTTTTGCTGTTATCAATTATTTCTTGCCCAAACTAATAAGCTTTTATGAGATGTGTCTCGCCCCAAATAACATCATTTTTGCCATTAGTCAGATGAGATGCCTGCTGTGCCCTCACCCTATTCATCATTAGGAATAAGGGGGTAAGTTAACCATAGCATCTTTGCCAGAACCCAGTGACGTCATCCAAGTTCTTGAAGTCCAAGAGTCTATCATTGATTTAATACCAAATTGTGGGTTTCAGTGCTTAGTTAGCCTCTTTTCAGTTTCCGATTGTGACCCTGGATTTACTCAGTTCTCTCCTCATTCCTCGTGTTTATATCCTTAATTCCAGAGGCTGTGTCATTGGACCTACCTTCCATTTTAATGTTCCTGCTCTGAATTTCGGTGATGTTTCCTTTGGTGAGTATCTTCCAATTTTATATTTTATACTTTCCTCTCTAGGTGGGAGGAGGGAGGTTGACAAAGAACCTCCGGTATATACTGTTTTCATGGAAATGCTAAGAGGGTCTGGTCTTGCTCTTTCCTTCCTCTGTGGCAGTGGCATTTTGCGGCCATTTTCTAGTTTACCTGTGAAAGTTGTAGCTGTGGCCAGGGCAGTGGCTGTCTCTCTGTCTACCAGCAACAGAGCGCCTTAGGCTCCACTCTACTCTCTGAAAGTTCTCAAAAGTCTGCTTCTTGCAGATGCCGATTTTCTAGTCTAGCTGCACAGAAATGGAAAGAAATGTACCTCTCTCACCAGAGGCTCCTCAAGTCAGGTCATACTCAGATTTAAGCGGACTCGGTGGGGTTTTTTGTGTGACTGATTATGTTTTGGGTGAAAGTTTACAGAGCAAACCTGTTTTCCACTCAACAATATACACCTTTTGTTGCTGTTTCCTGACATGGCTTGCAGTTTCCTCAGTGTAACAGCCACTCTTGCGACTTCCTTCCCGGGCTCTGTGTTTCCATTTGTCCTTCTTTTCTGCCCTTTGAGCTTTGTTTGGGGGCAAATGCTGCACTTTTGCTCTCATATGGTTGCCTGTTCTAAGAAGTATGTTCTGCAGGGGTGTAACTGTTCATCCCTATTGAAAGGTGATCCTCATGGTGACGTCAGTTGCAGGGTTCTCAGCGGTGGTTTGGTTCAGGTGTTGTCATTCCAAATTGAAGGCTCAGCTGCATTTTTGTGTCTTCTTGGTGACTTCCCTGAGCCATTTCCTTCCATCCAAGCAGTTGCTCCTTGGAAACCCGATTTGTTGTTGTTAAGTGCTGTTGAGTCAGTTCCTACTCATAGCGACCCTGTATAGGGTTTCCAAGGAGTGACTAGTGGGTTTGAACCACCAACCTTAAGGTCCAGTGCACTGGCTTGCAGCGCCACACCAGAACTCCCAATCGCTCTGACTCTGAACTGACTCAAGAGCACTTAATAACACAACAACAAACTGTGAAACACAAGGTCTGCAGTTCACGCCCACCTGTCCCTCTGCACAGGAATGATGAGGCTTTGTGCTCTCATGAAGATACACCGCCAAGGAAAACCTATACAAGAGACAACTCAACAACACTTAACAACAAATGATAGTAACAGTCGCAGCAGTAGCTGAAGAAGCTTCAGCTTAGCTTATTGGATACTTCCAGTGTGACGCTGTACAATCAGCACTGGACTGTGAATCATATGGTTGGCTTTTCAAACCCACCAGCCATTCCTCAGAAACCCTACACAGGGATACTAGGAGTAGGAACCAACTTGACAGCATTTAACAAGAACAATGTGTGTTCCAGTTACTGCTAGATGCACTACACCATTTAAAGTTTCCAGAGCCCAGGCTGCACAGAAAATTAGGTGTGGGATTGTTAAGTTTAAGGTCAGCATTTCAATCCCACCAGCTGTGCCATGGAGAAAGATGAGGTTGTTTGTGACCATAAATATTGACCGTCTCAGAAACCCTATGAATTACTGTGAGTTGAAATTGAATTGATGGCATTGACTTTGGTTTTGGTTTGGTGTGGGTTTTTTTTTGTTTTGTTTTTTTTTAATGAAGTGGGTATTATTTAATATTCCTTAATAGAGATAGGAGAACTGGGCTTTGGAACAGTTAAATAATAACTTGCCTCAAGATTATGTAATCTTTTAACAAAATTGTCATTTTTCTCTTGCTGCCTTATGGTCTCTAAACACTAGTTTGTTAACAGTTTCCTGGGGGACTTTCTAGGTGAGGTGAACAGATGCATATTGAAGGAGAATTCAACTGCTTGAGAAGGTTTTTCTGTCCTTGTGTAAGTCCGGGGTGAGGGTGGGGAGGAGAGCTATGAAGAAACTTCTGTTGAAACCTATTGTCAATCAGTCCACAGAAATGTAAATAGACGCTTTCCATGGAATAATTGTATTAGGTATCTGTTTGTATCTAAGGGATGTTCAGGACAGCAGCAGCTGTGAAACACTTGAGTTCAGGTGGTGTCGTAGATAGAAGAGCAGTATGGTTAGGACTGGGTACCACCAGAAACCTAGGAATAGAGTTCTTACTAATGATCCTTCAGTCTTCAGCAAACCAGTAAGACTTACGCCTTTCTCTTAGGTTTCCTGCCATGTGGTATACCATGTACTGCTGAAAGGAATTTTCCAGATGTTGTTGTTCTTAGGTGACATCCAGTTGGCTCTGACTCATTGCGGCCCTGCAATGGACACTGCCAGGTCCAGCGCCGTCCTCACAGTCCATGCTTTGTATGAACCCATTGTTGTCGGGGGGTGGCGGAGTCTTTCTCTTTTTCACTGACCCTCCATCTTACCAAGGAGCTCTGGTAGCATAGTGGTTACAAATCAGGCTGCGAACCTCAAAGTCAGCAGTTCAAAGCTATCAGCTGTTCCACAGGAGAAAGAGGAGGCTTTCTGCTCCCGTAAAGATTTACAGCCTTGGAAACCCTGTTCAGGGTCGCTATGGGTCGGAACCGACTCAACAGCACTGAACAACAACCATCTTACCAAGCATGATGTCCCTACAGATAACATATCCAAAGTACATGAGACAAAGTCTCGCCATCCTCGATTCTGACGAACATTCTGAGCGTATTGCTTCCAAGATAGATATGTTTCCTCTTCTGGCAGTCAATGGTGCATTCAGTACTCTTCGCCAACACCATAATTCACATGCATCAGTTCTTCAGACTCCCTTATTCATTGTTTAGCTTTCTCATGTATATGAAGCAATAGAATATACCATGGCTGGGGTCAGGCAGGCTTTAGTCCTCTGAGTACCATCTTTGATCTTTAACGCTTTAAAGAAGTCTTATGCAGCCAATTCGCCCAATGTAAATTTGATTTAGCTGCTGCTCCCATGAACACTGATTGTGGACCTAAGTGAAATTAAATACTTGTCAAATCAACCTGGTTTGTGCTTATCCTGTTGCTGTTTACTGGTCCAGTTGTGAGGATTTTTGTTGTCTTTACACTGAGTTATAATCCACACTGAAAGCTGTATTCTTTTATCTTCATCAGCAAGTTCAAGTCGTCTTTGCTTTCAGTAAGCAAGGTTTTGTCGTCTACATAGCACAGGTCATTAAAGAACCTTCTCCAATCTGATGCCACATCCTTCTTCATATAGTCCAGTTTCTCTAATTATTTGTTCTGCTTACAAAGTAAATGCAATTGGTGAAAGAAAACAGCCTTGACTCAGCCTTTTCTGATTTTTGAATCACACGGTATCCCTTGTTCTATTTGAACAACTGTCTCTTGTTCTCTGAACAGGTTCCATGTGAGCACAAGTAAATGTTCCAGAATTTTCATTCTTTGCAATGCTATCCATAGTTAGGATTCATGCGGTCAAATACCTTTGTAGTTAATAAAACACAAGCAAACATCTTTCTGGTATTCTCCACTTGTAGTCAAGATCCATCTGACGTCAGCAATAATAACCCTTGTTCTGTATCCTCTCCTGAATCCTACTTGAATTTCTGGCTGTTCCCTGTCATTATACTGCTGGAACCTTTTTTTAAGTTATCTTCAGCAAAAGTTTACTTGCATGTGATATTAATGATACTGTTCGGTAATTACTACATTCTGTAAGCCACACCATGGAAGAAAGACTTTCTGCTTCTGCAAAGATGTACAGCCTTGGAAACCATATACAGGGTCGCTATGAGTTGGAACTAATGCAACCACACTTAGCAATGCTAACAACGTATTCACGGTCATATTTTGGCTATTGTAGACTTGTTTGAATTTTCTTCAGTTTCAGCTTGAATTTGCCTGTGAACAATTGATGGCTTGTTCCAGAGTCAGCCCCTGACCTTGTTTGGTTGATGTTAGTTTCTCTATTGTTTTTTCTCACAGATGTAGTCAATATGATTCCCTGTGTGTTACATCTGGTAAGGTCTATGTGTACTGGGGTTCTATGCTTTGGAGTTGGTTCCGACTCATAGTGACCCTGTATAGGGTTACTGAGGCTGTAAATATTTACGGGAGCGGAAAGCCTCATCTTTCTCCCTCAGAACCACTGGTAGTTTCAAACTGCTGACCTTGAGTTTAGCAGCCTGACTTATAACAGCTATGCTACCAGAACTCCTTTCCATGTGTATAGTCATCCATTTATGCTGTTGAAAAAGGTATTTGCCATGAAGAAGCTGTTCATCTTGTACAAGTCTCTCATCTTGTACAAGTCTATCATGTAATCACCAGAATCATTTCTATCACCAAAACTATTATCTTCCAACTACTAATCCTTCCTTTTTGTTTCCAACTTTGATTTTCCTATCACAGTAATTATCAATGCATCTTCATTGAATGTTTGATCAGTTTGAGACTGAGGAAGTTGGTGGAATTATTTAATTTCTTCATCATTGGCTTTGGTGGTTGGTGTGTAAATGTGAATAACAGCTGTATTGACTGGTCTTCTTTGTAGGCATATAGACATTGTTGTTGTTGTTATGTGCCATCGAGTCGGTTCCGACCCATAGCGACCCTGTATAGGGTTTCCGAGGGTGTAAATCTTTACGGGAGTAGAAAGCCTCATCTTTCTCCCGCGGAGCACCTGGTAGTTTCGAACCGCTGACCTTAAGGTTCGCAGCCCGATTCGTAACCACTACGCTACCAGACATTATCCTATGACAAACAGCATTGTAGTTCAAGATAGATCTTAAAATGTTCTTTTTGACAAGTGAATATGATGCCATTCCTCTTCAATTTGTCCTTCATGGCATCGTAAGCCGTATGATTGTTAAATGTTAAAAAGTCCACCCCTGTCCATTTCAGCTCACTAATGCCTAGGCTATTGATCTTTATGTATTCTCTTTCATTTTGGATGACTTGCGATTTTCCTAGATTCACACTTGGTACATTCCACATTCTGATGATTAATAGATGTTTGCAATTGTGCCTTCTCATTTTGAGTCATGCCCCACCAACAAATGAAGGTCCTGAAAGATTTGCTTCATCCATGTCATTCAAGTTGACTCTACCTTGAAGAGACATCTCTTCCTCAGTTTATTCTGAGCACCTTCCAACCTGAGGGACTCATCTTCTGCCATTGTAGCAGATCACGTTTCACCTACTACTCATAAGGTTTTGGGGGTTAATACCTCAGAAGTGGGCCACCTATTCTTTGTTTCTTGTTCTTGTTGTCATTTAGCTGGTTCCGATTCATAGTGACTTGAAAGAGGGTTTCCAAGAGAGGCTGATGGTTTTGAACTGCTGACCTTGCAGTTTGCAGTCCAGTGCACATCCTACAGCACTAGCCAAGGGTCTCCTTCTGCTAGTCTGTGCTTTATCAGTAAGTTTTTCTGAAAGCTGCTCACCATGAGTGACTCTCATGGTGTTTGAAACATTAGTGGCCTAGCTTCTAGCATCATAACAACAAGCAAGCCGCCACAGTAAAACAAGCTGAAGGACATGTATGGGCCTTAACAACATGGTAGTCCATGTACTGGTAAAAGGAATTTTCCAGGTAAGCAGTTATAATTGGATTTACTCTCTGAAAGACTTTTGTTTTCGGGAAATAGTCTGGGCAGTAGTTTGGAAGGATTCATCAGAATCTTTATGTGACCCTAGTTGTTGTTGTTAAGTGCTGTCAAGTCAGTTCTGACCCACAGCGACCCTATATGTGGTTTCCAAGGAGCAGCTGGTGGGCTTGAACAGCTGACCTTGCGATTCAAACCGACTTTACAGTCCAGTGCATTAAGCCACACCAGGACTGGTAGGAAAGTAGGCATGCTATCACCACAGAAGCATGAGTGTGTTTCTTCCAGTTGTCTCAGTGTGTTGGCCCAGGCTCAGACACAGGAAAAGTAGAAGGGTTCAAAATACCTACTGAAGTAACAGCAGTGAAATGGATTGGATAGCATTGCAGCAAGGTTCAAGGCAAAAATACTCATTTTTGGTGATGCTATGGGTTTGGCACTGGGCAGTTAACCACAAGGTCAGCAGTTCAAATGCAAAAACCACTCTGTGAGAGAAAGATGAGGTTCTCTGCTCCTGGAAATATTTATAGTCTCAGAAACACTATATAAAGTTGCTATGAGTCAGAATCGACTCAGTGGCTGAGTTTGCCAGTGGGTAGATATGGTTCTAGATAAGGAGCCCAGGTGGCACACTGCATTAAGAACTGGATTGCTAAAGTCAAAGTCAGCTGCTCAAAACCAGCAGTTGTTCTGTGGGGGAAAGATGAGACTGTCTGCTCTCATAAAGCATTACAGGATTGGACGTCCTAAGGAGCACCTCTAGTCTGCCCTGTAGACTTGCTGTGAGTCAGAATCTACTTGACGGCAGTTTGGTTTTTTGGTTTTATTTTGTTTATGGTTATAGATGGTTCTTCTTGAAAATGATAGCAAATACAGTGGCTACGCCCACACCAAAACCAAACCCACAGCTGTCTAATTGACTCGAACTCACAGCATTCCTAGAGGACCCAGTAGAAATAACTGCTCCTTAGGGTTTCCAAGGACTCCTGGTGTGGCACTCTGGGTTAATGCGCTGGACTGCCAAGTCAGATGTTCAAACCCACCAGCCTCTCCTTGGAAACTGTATACAAGGTTGCTATGAGTCGGCACCAACTCGACAGCACTCAACACCAACAGAGTTTCCAAGGTTGTAAATCTCTACAGGAGCAGACTGCCTCATGTTCCTCCCTCAGAACAGCGGGTGGGTTCAAACGACAGGCCTTTTGATTAGCTGCAAAGCACTTTAAACAATGCACCACCAGGGAGCCAAATGGGAATCCAAAAACAGAGCAAGGAAGGTCACCATCTCTTGAGCGAGGATCATGAGTCTCCCTGAATTGCATGGAGACACGCTAGACAGGAGGCAAGAGAGCAGTTGTATCCCTGGGAGGTCAAAGTCTGCGTGTTGGTGCCTGGCTGGTTCAGAAGCAGACTGTACAGTCTCCCTGGGGACAGACTGTCACTGGACTTTGCATCATCAGCCCTAGCGACACATGATCCTTGGGCAGGTCCAGGATGAGTTATGTAATGTTTTGGCTGACTCTGGGTCACACAGAGGACAAAGCCATGCAAATGCTTCCTCTCACACATTGCCAAAAAAGAAGAGTAAGCATGATTTCATTTGTTGGAGAGAAAAAAATCTCTATTTTGATGCAAAATATACTTGTGGTAGAGTACTCATCAAACTGACAATAGAGGCATACTCTTGCCCATCCAGGGGTTGGTTTTATATCTACTGCTTAACCTTCTTTATAGCAAATGCAAAGTCAGCAATCAAATCCACCGGCCACTCTTGAAATCCTATTCAGGGTCACTGTCTGGGAACGTAGTGGTTACAAGTTGGGCTGCTAACTTCAAGATCATCAGTTTGAAACTAACAGCCATTCTGCAGAAGAAAGACAAGGCTTTCTGCTCCCATAAAGATTTACAGCCTTGGAAACCCTGTGCAGAGTCGCTATGAGTGGGAACTGACTCCATAGCACACAACCACCACCACCACCATGCGATGGCACACAACAACATAACAATAATAGTAAATGCATGCAAAACATTTATTCAGTGAAAAGGTATTGATTGTGTGATTGGAAACAAGCTTTGGTATGAGTTGGTGTTCAGGAAATAGTGGTGAACCACATAGACAATTCATTCAAGAGACCTGGTGTGGCACTGTGGGCTAATGCACCAGACTGAAAGTTGGATTGAACTGCAAGGTCGGTGGTTCAAACTCACCAGCTGCTCCTTGAAAACTCTACACAGGGTCACTGTGAGTCAGAACTGACTCAATAGCCCTTAACAGAAACACATGAGGTGTCATATAGGAGGCTTGGGGGATGTAAATAGTAAAAGCAGATCACTACTAGCCACAAGGTTCTGACTCATCCAGAAGACAGACTTGGCAATCCTCCTTTAAAACAGTACAGGCCTTGAAACAGTACAGAGCAGTTCTACACTTTGTACACCTGGGGGCGCTATGACTAGGAACTGACTAGATGGTAACTAACAGCAACAGGGAAAGTTCTAGGGGCAAAGAAGAAGACCATGGTGAGGCTTTTATTTCTTACCTCCTAATTTGTTTTCTAGGGTTCCCTCACACCTTGAGCTGTTCCCTGAATAATACCTCTTTGGTCCCCATGGTCTTCAAACTGCGTGTTCCTGGGGATGGCTTGGGGAGTAAAAGTATTTCCACTTGCCAGCAACATTCAGACAACAAAACTCCCTCCTGGAACAGGGAAGAAAAAACACCGGCAGTGAAACCAAAGGAATTCACCATCTCTCCCAGCTGTGGCACCATTCGCCCCCAGGGATTTGCTGCTATTCGGGTAAGGTTCAGAGGCTCCCAGCACCCAGGGCCAAACCCTGGAACTCACACAGAGCTATTTGGACATCTTAGGTTTGCTCTCATGTGCTCAATGCCATTGGGAGGGAATGCCTGTCAATTCACATAGAGAACTGGGGTCTATCAAACGAAATCAACCCAGGTACAAACATGCTGGGCAAAGGAATTCCCACTGCTCCAGTGGATTCACATCTGTCCAGAGTGTAGATTCTACTTACTGAAAGTACACCTATCAGTCAGTACAAGCATAAAAAGATGTAAGCACTCATTGAGAACTAGGTTCTCCTTTCCTTTAGACACAAACGCTTTGTACCAATGTCCAGATGAAATCCATTTTGTTCAGATTTTTAACATGAGTCTGGGTGGATGTGATGTTGTGCTAACAACAATTTGTATTTAAGTCGACAAGAGCAGTGAGGAGAAAGCTAGTTCTCCACCCTTTCTATGATCTTTTTGAAATCATGTCAGGAGGCTGCTGAAACCATGGTGTGGTGGTGCAGCCAGCAGACTCATTTCCCAGTTATCTCGCAGAGGTTTGTGCTGTCTCCCCTCACATACTTTTGCTGCTTCAGTTAGGTCTAACAGTCTTGAAGCCTGTATTAAATTGAAGTGATTGTGTACTCTCTAGGAAAGAAAAAAAAGAGAATTGATAGCTAAGATTGGTAATTTTCTCTTTAGTCATTATCCTTGAATAGTTACCGTACTATTGTTTCGTCGCTCAAATATGCTTCAACTATTTCATACTACTTCACCATGAGTCCTGCTGTTGTTGTGTACTGTCGAGTTGGTTCCAAGTCATAGCAACCCACATAAGGCTTCCGAGGAGCGGCTGGTGACTTTGAACCTCCCACCTTGTACTTAGCCGTCCATTGCTTATCCTACAGTGCCACACCAGGACTTCACCATGAGTCTACTCATCCTAAATCCTTTCTAGATGTTGTCGGCCCTTCCCTGGGTTTCTCCATGGGTCCAGTGAGGTTTGGTATTAGATGTTATAACTGAGCAGCCCTGTAGGATAAACAAGGTGGGCAGTTGAAACCCACCAGCCACCACTTGGAAGAAAGATGAGGCTTCCTGTTCCCTTATAGCCTGACAGCCTTAGAGACCCTCTACAGGGTGGCTGTGAGTTGGAGTAGCCTCGATGGCAGTGGCTTTGGTTTGGGTGTCATTGTAACTTCTCAGCGTCACTCATCGGACTCTCCTGGTGAAAGGAGCTGCTGCAATGCATTTCTTTCTTTTTTTGTATTTAATTTTCCTTTCCTTTTTTCCCTTCCTGCCTATCCCAGACAGCACAGGAAGCTTTGTAGACAACATAGCATCTCTCTAGCAGGTTTTGGCCAGAACCCCTTTCTCTTCTGTCTTCTAAGCATAGGCAGAAAGACCAACAAGGAGTTACAGGTGCATTAGGAACCTCTGCACGCTGGCTCTGCAACTTCTCTGCAAACCCGACACGCTTTCTTTCCAAATCAATGGTTCCATCGTCACGTCATTTTTTATCCTTTATACTCAGAAAAAGCTTTCTCCAGGCTTCTGTTTCCCTCCCAATCTGCACTTTAACCAGGTCTGTGTGGACTCAAATTTGCATCCAGCGAGTCCCTTTGCAACCTGAAAAGTTTTTAATTAGTATCTGATACATAATTTATAGACAGAAAAGCCTTTACCCATGCCAGAAGCTGTTTTCTACAATTACAAGTATCTCCTCCAGTACAAATCATTTTAAAGCAATTAAAAAACTGTAGCCAGACTTTCAAAAGCCTAAATGTAAAATTTCTGAACAGATATTGCCTTAGAGAAACCTTTCTCTGGTACTCAGCCTTTTTTTATTTTAATAGTGAACATTTGGGGTCCGGGTGAGATTTTGAATAAAACAAAGGCTGTCTAATCAATCTCCTGGTCCTCCTAATCAAGTTCCTAGAGGTCACGTGGAGCTCTGGTAGCACAGTGGTTACAAATTGGGCTGTGAACCTTAAGGTCAGTGGTTCGAAACTACCAGCCACTCTGCGGGAGAAAGATGAGGCTTTCTACTCCCGTAAAGATTTACACCCTCGGAAACCCTGTACAGGGTCGCTATGGGTCGGAACCGACTCAATGGCACTTAACAAAAAAAAAAAAAAAAACAAGAGAAATGGAGCTGTAGTTTTTGTATTTTTTTAATCAACATATTGAAGGAGCTCTGGTAGCGTCGTGGTTACAAATCAGGCTGATAATCTCACGGTCAACAGTTCGAAACTATCAGCGGTTCCGAAGGAGAAAGATGAGGCTTTCTGCTCCCAGAAAGACGAGGTTTCTACTCCTCAGAAACCCTATACAGAGTGGCTATGAGTCGGAACCGACTCCACAGCACACAGCCACCAACACCACCATCAACATATTGAAGTTTCTAATTCACATCACTCAGAGTTGTTTGGAAACAGTATAAATTGTAATCATTGGCGTTCGTTTGATAGAGCATATCTTTCATGGTTATTTTTCCCCTTCTTGCAGGCATATAACTTCTTTGATCCAACCTCCCCAGGAATGAGCAAACCTGTTATACTAAAGTCATTTAGTTTCTAACCTGGCCTTTTAAGAAACTCAGGGTGCCCTGACCCCAAAACATAACTTGTTCAACTAAAAATGTAATAAAACACGACCCATCCAATGAAGTACTTAGACATCACTCTGATCCCTGCAACCTTCCCACCAGCTTTTTTCTCCCCTGTGTCCAAGGGAGAGCAGGCCTTTTGAAAAGAGCAACATTTCACCTTTTTTTTTTTTTTTCTCCTCCTCTCCAGGTGACCTTATGCTCCAACACCGTGCAGAACTATGAGCTGGCCCTGGTGGTAGACGTGGAGGGCATTGGAGAGGAAGTGTTGGCGCTCTTAATTACAGCAAGGTATCAGACTCACCTGCATCCAGAGACATCTTCTGCAGCCTCCCTGAGCCACCACTAATGGGCTGCCTCTCCAGAAGGCAGTCGCCTGCCTGCCAGTTCACACTGCATTTATTCGGCCTTCCTGGGAACAGAAGCAGAATCTGATCATAAAATAACAAAGCTTGAAGACAGCAACCATTGTTAAAACACTTTGGGTAGCCGTAAGAGAAGGGATGTATGTATTTTGCAGAGTGCAGAGAATTGTAGTGTTCTTTAATGGGTCTGACTTTCAAAGTATGTCACATAAAAGGTTTAGCAGGAACATGTAGCCAGTTGCAGGTTCTTGTGTTTAACTTTAAATATGAGGGGACTTCAAAAAAGGTAACAGACGTTTTGAAATAGGTTCATATCATACCCGAAAGTTATGCAGCTAGGAGAGTGGTGTTCTTCATCCCCTATATCATGACAATGGAGGAAGGCAGGTTAGAAACTAAGAGTCACAACCACAAATGAAGCCCAAGTTACCAATAATAGGCCAGCTGTAAACCCGGGGCTTCAATCCCTCCCAAGTCCTCCCACGGCGCCCCCTCAGTACTGAGAGTCACTATCACAGTGCCAGCTCTGGGCTGAGCAGCTGCCTCTGTCTCCTCATCCAAGACAGCTGTTCTGCATAGGAGTTAGAATTATTACCATTATTTAGATGATGTGAGCATTGGAGCGCTCCAAAGTGTCACAGCTAGTTAAGGCCCCATGCTGGTGGTATTGGGCCTCTTTGACATGGATACAACAGTTCCACTATCCTAAGGAACTTGCACACGGGGGCCACTTGCCAGAGGATGGCCAGATACCAAAACAATGGAAATATTAGTCATTACCCACAGAAGACAGCTGTTTCAGGAATCCTGCTTCTAGACCTTTTCTTATTAAAAACTGGTGACTGGGGTGGGGCGGGGGAGGGGGTTGTGGTGGTAAAGGAGAGGGATGACAGGGGAGAGGATTTGAAAATGATGAATGTAGCGATTAGAGAAAAACCCCAGTGTGACGATGACAGATGTGTTTAACTTGGGACTTTACGTTCTCCATATGTAAACAAGCTCTCTCTCCTTTTGAATCCTTAAATGGACTCCTTCGAGCAGGTGCATTGTACCTGCACTCTGTCTGGTTCGTACAGAGGTGGACTTTGGTCGCTGCTTCCTGAAGTACCCTTATGAGAAAGCGATCCAGCTGGTCAACAATGACAATCTCCCAGGATGCTATGAGGTTCTGCCTCAGGTGAGTGACTTCATCTTCACTTGGTGTTCATTTGTTTTCAGTGGGAGTCACTCGATGAGAAAGAGAGATTCTCTGAAAAAGCCGTATTCCTGAACACATGACCTTAGGCAATTCTGATTTTTAACCCTTGGACAATCTTGTGGTGTTAGACAACCACAGCTGGCTTGCCATCTGCATGGGTAAGCAGCTGCAGGTGCAAACGGTAGCTAATCTCCCCAGAAATTACTCTTGTTGAAAAAGTGAAGGGTCAATTAAGCCAACATCTAGAAGTTGCACCTGCAAATAATTGTCTGGGAGTTAGCCTTGCATCATAATGAGACTGAGCCACGAGTTTCCCCTTACAATGTCCATGGTTGTATCTTGAACAAATCCGAACATCACTAAGATATAGTGATCAATATTTATCAGTGGACTCATGGGACCAGAAAGCCAGAAGAATGAGGAAAGAGGAGTTGAACCTTAATGTCTTATGCAGTGTATCTGTCTACATGCCATGACATGTTACTAGGTAGGGTGACTGAAAAAGTTAAACAGGTATGGAGAAAAGATTCAGAGAGATCTGTACAGATGAGAGTAATGGAAGATTATGATTATTGTTATATGCTGTCGAGTCAGTTCCGACTCACTGACTCTGTATACGTTTCTGAGGCTGGAGCAGAAAGCCTCATATTTCTGCTGCAAAACAGAAACTGGATTCAAAGTGTTGAGCTTTCAGTTAGCTCCCCAACACATAACCCACTACAACAGCAGAACTCAATGGAAATTACTAATGAATGCAATTTCCCAAGAATGCACTTTGGTTTAAAACTCAGTCATACAAACATTTCCCAAAAAAAGCCCCAAACCTACTGCCATCAAGTCGATTCCAACTCATGATCACTCGCTGTTTCCGAGACTGTAAATTGTAAAGATTTAAATTGTAAAAATTTTAAATTGTAAAGATTTACAGTCTCGGAAACAGCGAGTGACCATGAGTTGGAATGAGTTGGAGAAGACAGCTTCATCTTTCTCCCATAGAATGACTGGTAGGTTTGAACCTCTGACCTCTGCTAGCAGCCCAATACCCAATCCACACCACCACCAGGACTCCTTTATTACAAGTAGAGTACTCTAATAAAAATTAATGCCAAAAAATCAAATGGAGGTTTTATGTGGCTATCAATTGAATATGAGTTAAAAGAGCAGTATGAGGACCACCGCTTTAGGAACCCTACATAGGGGTCGCTTTGAGTCGGAGTCAACTTAGTGGCCATGAGTTTGATTTTATGAGGCCCCGAAAGGCAGTTATACACATGGACCTCACCACATGGAATATGCAGAAATCAAATTGACTACATCTGTGGAAAGAGATGGTGGAAAAGCGCCTTATCATTGGAAAACACATGGCTATGGACAGATTGTGGAAGACACCATCAATTGCGCACATGCAAGGTCAGGCTGAAGCTGAAGAAAAAATTTTAAAGTCCACAAGAACCAAAATATGGCCTTGAACATATCCCACCTGAATTTAGAGACCATCTGAAGGACAGATTTGATGCATTGGACACTCAAGATTGAACACTAGATGTGGGATGACATCAAGAATATCATACAGGAAGGAAGCAAAAGATCATTAAGAAGACAAAAAAGGAAAGAAAAAAATGTATGTAAGAACAGACTCTGAAACCTGCTCTGGAGTGTAGAGACCAAGGCAAATGGAAGAAATGAGGAGATAAAGGAGCTGAACAGAAAAATTTCAAAAACGCAGCTCGAGAAGACAAAGTCAACTATTATAATGAAATGTACAAAGATCTGGAGTTTAGGAAACCAAAAGTGAAGAACAAGTTCAGCATTTCTCAAGCTGAAAGAACTGAGAAAAATATTCAAGCCTCATCTTGCAATTCTGAAGGACTCTTTGGGCAAAGTATTGATTGATGCTGAAAGCGCCAAAAGAAAGTGAAAGGAATACAGAGTCATGGTTGATGTTCAACCATTGCAAAAAGTGGCATATAAAGGAAGAAGTTCAAGGTGCACTCAATGCATTGGCAAGAAAAAGGCTTGGAAAATTGATGGAAGACAAATTGAAATCTTTCAACAAACTGATGTAGCATTGGAGGCACTCACTCATCTACGCCAAGAAATCTGGAAAACAGCTACCTGGTCAACTGATTGGAAGAGATCCATATTTGTGCCCATTCCAAAGAGTAGGTGACCCAAAGGAAAGCAGGGATCATGGGACAATATCATTAATATATATGCAACTAAAATTTTGCTACAAATAATTTAAAAATGGCTGCAATAGTACATTGACAGGGGACTGCCAGAGGTCTCAGATGGATTCAGATGAGGATGTGGAACGAGGGATATCATTGCTGACATCAGATGAATCTTGGCTGAAAGCAGAGAATACTAAAGAGATACTTACCTGTGCTTCATTGACTATGCAAATTTTGACTATGTGGTGTGGATCATGACAAGCTATGAACAAAATTTCAAAGAATGAGTATTCTGCAACACTTAATTGTGCTCAGGAGGAACCTGTGTATAGACTGAGAGGCACATGTTTGAACACAACAAGGAGAAACAGTGAATGGTTTAAAATTGGGAAAGGTGTGTGCCAGGTTGTTTTCTATCCCCATACTTACTTATTCAATCTGTATCCTGAACAAATAATCCAAGAAACTGGATTATATGAAGAAGAATGTGGCAACAGGATTGGAGCAAGACTCATTGACAACCAGCGATATGCAGACAATACCACCTTGCTTGCTGAAAGTGAAGAGGACTTAAAATACTTACTGATGAAGATCAAAGACCATGGCCTTCAGTATGGCTTGCACCTCAATGTAAAGAAAACAAAAATTCTCAAAACTGGACCAATGTAGAGTATCATGACAAATGGAGGAAAGACTGAGTTTGTCAAAGACTTCATTTTGCTTCGATCCACCATCAACACTCATGGAAGCTGCTGTCAGGAAACCAAATGACGTATTGCATTGGGCAGATCTGCTGCATAAGACCTCTTTAAATTACTGAATAGCAAGCAAGTCAGTTTGAGGACTAAGGTGTACGTGACCTGTGCTTTGATGTTTTTGATAGCCTCATATACACGTGAAAGTTGGACAGTGAATAAGAAAAATGATAGAAAAATTGGAGCTTTTGAGTTATGGTTGTGGAGAATAATTCTAAAGGTACCATGAACCATGGACTGCCCAAAGAACAAACAAATCTATGTTGCTAGAAGTACAACCAGAGTGCTCCTTAGAAGTTAAGATGACCAGACTTTGTCTCTCATACTTCAGACGTGTTATCAGGAGTGACCAATCTCTGGAGAAGAATATCTATCATATTTGGTAAAGTAGAGGGTCAGCAAAAAAAGAGGGAGATCCCCAACAACATAGTTTGGCAGCAGCAATGGGCTCAAGCATAGCAGCAGTTGTGAGCATGGTGCAGGACTGGGCAATGTTTTGTTCTTTGTACATGGGATTGCTGTGGGTTGGAAACAGCTTGACGGCACCTCACAACAACAACAATACAGAGCAGAGGCAGGATCAGCTAAAAGAAGGACCTAGCCACCAGTCAAATGACAGCCAGAACTCTGTCTTCAGATCTTGTCGCTGTGTTTTTTATTTTAAATGGAAATTTGACACAAATGGTAACCATGTCGTCAGGATACCCCAGTCATATTAGGAGCAAAGGAGAATACCACACCCTATGGAACTATTATTGCGTTAAACCTAGTAACATACTGTAGAACATGGCTCTGAGGACCATACGTTGGTAAATGTTGGACGTTATTCATTCCTTCATTCATTTAAAAGGCATGTACGATAATAGCAGTTATTGTTGTTGTGAAGTGTGGTCGAGTCAATTCTGACCCATAGTGACCCTGTACTGAGTTTCCGAGGAGCAGCTGGTGAACTTGAATCACTGACCTTGCAGTTCAAACGGCTTTGCAGTCTGGCGCATTAACCCACAGCGCCACACCAGGACTCCATTAATAGCGGTACATGAGCCTTAATAGCAATACTATTCACAAAGCCAAAGATGGAAACAACCCAGGTGTTCAGCTGGTGAATGGATAAACAAAAGGTGGTATGTCTATACAATCGATTATTATTGGACTATAAAAATGAATGAAATACTGACACATGCTACAGCATTGATAAATCTTGAAAACATGCTAAATGGAAAAAAAAAAAACAAAACAGTCACGAAATACCACATCAGTTTATGGTTCCATTTATAGGAAATGTCCAGAATAGGTCAGTCCATAGAGAAACTGCAGATTGGTGATTGCCAGGGAAGGGAAGAAGAAGGACAGACTTCTTAATGGGTATTAGGATTCCTTTTGGGGTGATAAAAAAATGTTTTGGAGCTAAATAGAGGTGGATGTTTTACAATACTGTGCATGTATTGAATGCCACTGAATTGTCCACTTTAAAAATGATTACATTTTTCCACACTGGAGTTTCCTTTACAGTTGCTAGACATAATCCTTTGAAGACCCTTGCTGGTCCTACCGGTCACAGTTGAGCATTGTGACTGCAATGGGCTCCTACTCATACTGGCCTGCTGTTGAGTTGTTTTTATTGACAGATTTTGTTTGCTACACACCTCACTGGGTTGTGTACCACCACCAGCTAGATGTGATCCCTTGTCTCATATCCAAAACAGAACATACTTGGGTATTCCTGAAACATCATACAGTGTGTATTATTTGTTATATGAACCTAGCCTACCTTGTTGTTTTCTCATATTAAGCAATGTAAATCCACTTTGTTTTAGTGGTGCTATTTTGGTAATGTATAAGCAATTTCAGTTCTGTTTAGGGATTGACTTCCAAGACTTGAGCTCTGCTTATTTCATATCAGTAAGACAGCTATTTTAATTTTATCTAAAATAAAACTTTTTTCTCAAAAAAAAAAAATCATTAAGTGTATGTTAGATGAATCTCGCCTCAATTTTTTAAAAAAACTGTATTGATCACATGCTTTGGTATAGACAGTGGGCATGTAGAGAGGAGAGGCTAAATCATGGCCAAGGGGGTTCACAGCCCCTGAAGGATAGACAGGCGTAGCGATACTGCTGTGTACAGGGCACTCCCTGAGGCAGAGGAAAACCCCCAACCCCGAGCTCCACAGATTTCTGGGTAGGACTCAGGGCAACGGAGAATGAGTGTGCCAAATAGAGGAGCCCTGGTGGCATGGTGGTTAAAGCACTCGACTGCCAACCAAAAGGCAATGGCCCTAGAGGAGACAGATGGGCCGTCTGCCTCTGTAAAGATTTATAGCCTTGGAAACCCAGTGGGGCAGCTCTACTCTGTCCAGTACGGTCGCTCTGGGTCAAAATTCACTCCACAGAAATAAATTTGGGTTTTATGGTTGGTGCCAGGTAGCTTGAAGGGAAACAGTGTTCCAGGAAGGGAGGCACACATCAAAAGATGGAGGTGGGAAGCTATGGTCTTAACCTGATTCCTGTTCTATATAATTTATTGCTTTATGTTGTGAACTCTGGATTGGGGGGTCTTACCCACTCTCCTTTTAATTAAATTGCTTCTGGCTGGCTGAAGTGCTTCAACACCAATGCTTTTCCAAAGAGACTCCATGGAAGTGCCTGTTTCCATGTTCTGTGATGTGTATTTTAGACCACGCCTTGGACTTGACTGTACCTTTGTCTTTTCTCTTCCTCCAGGTGGATGAGGATTCACCTCCTGTGCTCCTTTCCAGCCTCACCCCCTGTGGGATTATCCCTCCCCACAGCACCGTAGACATACCTCTAGCCCTGGAGACCCAGGTCACAGGGCAGCACTGGTCCTTAGTCTACATCTACGTCTTTGGGAGCCAAGACCCTCCTTTGGTGAGAGCCCGGTTTTCAGATTTACGTTTGAAATTGCTGTTAATTGTTGTGAAACATGACAGGCTTCCTCATCGAAGGTGCATGCCTTACTTACATATCCTCCAGTCTATAGTTTTAGTTTTACATTTTCCTTCTGCAATGGTAAAATGCCAGTACCAGCTTATTTAGAGAATCCATTTGCTGATATCAACCTGTGAAAGTTTTTGTTGTTAAGTGCCAGTAAATTGGTTCCAACTCATAGCAACCCTGTCTAGGGCTTCTGAGGAATGACTGGTGGGTTTGAGCCACCAACTTTGCAGTTAGCAGTCCTGTGCTTATCCTACAGTGCCACACGAGGACTCCACATAAGAATGTGGTGGTGGTGGTTGTATGCCACCAAGTCGGTTCCAACTCTTAGTGACCTTGTATAGGGTGTCCAAGACCTCATCTGTCTCCTGTAGAATGAATGGTAGATTTGAACTACTGACCTTGCAGTTAGCAACCCAGCGGCCCTTACATAAAAAAGTAGGAGGGGTTTATAGCAACTGTTCTTAAATCTAGCAGAATGTCACGTGTCTCCCCTCTGCCGGGGCAGCGGCAAGCCATCTGGGGTTTTTTGTTTTTTACAAACCTCCTTGGGTGTTTCTGGTTCAAAACTTGGTTTGGTCTCACTAGTCTGTGGCATGTAGTGTGTCAAATCTGACTCACATGCCTGCTCACAAGACCTCTTTTTCTTTATATTGCCTACGGAAGATGTGAGGAGAAGTCGTCTTCTCCAAGTGAGGGAAGAGGGAGCATGGAAGGATGTCTACGATTTAAACTAGATTGAAGGATGAATCTGAACTCCTGAAGGAGTTTGCCCAACAATAGATCTCTCTCTAGACCTCTGCTTTACTTGGAAGAGGGTGATGTCAGCTTACATTTGCTTGAATTGATTCTGAGCATTCAGAAAGATTAAGAAACTCATACTTTTCTCCATTCCATGTAAGATGTCGTAGATAAGCTACCTGAAATATACACCACCACCACAAAGAAAGACCAACCCTGCAAGTCACCACCAGGCCAGGGTCCTGCTAACCTACCACCTGCTCCCCTCTGCTCAGATGCAGTCCCATGAGAATGTGGCCCCCTTCCTTAAGCAGATGCATTCCCCTGCCAAGGGAGCAAGGCTTAGGAAGTAGAGGAAGCATGGATTTCAGCATCCAGCTTGCACCATTGTGTGCAGTGGCCCTGCCCCGCCCCATGCTAGTAAAGCAACAAAACTGGGACTCAAACCCAGCCACACCTGACGGTTCAGTGCAGGACCTTAACCCCATGTAAGTGTGCCGAGGGCCAGAGTACCAGGAAGGACCCAGGGGGTCAAGATTCTGTATTCTCCCCTCAGTGCAGTGCTGTGGGTAGACCCATCCTCCCTGCAGAGGATTTCCAGCTCAGGGACCACAGGTCTGACCCAGCCTGGCCTTCCATCGCTGTGTCCCTCTGTACTAGGGAGAAGGAATGTCTGTTCTAAGGATTACCTTTGATCTCTCTGCTTTTTATTAAAGGAGTGGCTAGAAATTTGTGTTTTCATTGATTTTAAAGGCCAGCCATCTCCATCTACTCCTGTGTTCTTTCTTTCTATCTCATGGGATGCAGGCATGTCGTATAAAGAGCATCGGAGAAGGCCCGGTTATCTACGTACATCCCACTCACGTGGATTTTGGCACTATCTACGTCCTGAGGGACTCCTCCAGGCTTCTCTCTCTGTCCAATGAGTCCTTCATTCCTGCATCATTCCGGGCACACATGGTGAGTGGGTCATAGAAATGTCATGTGATGAAAGCAGCCTTAGAAGATGCCTTCTATACAGTGGTCCTTGGAAATGACCACTGGGAGCATGGTCTAGCAACACTAGAACATCCCATCCCCACACCCACTTCCTCTCTATTAGAGTTCTCTTGCTGTATAAGAAATACAATTTGCTTGTCTTTTTATAAATACATTTTTATAAAATTACTGTAAATCCATTTTATATAATTCCAGTTCAGGAAGCTGTGCCGGATGTCAACAAACTCAGTTTACTGAACTGAACCGCCATCCAAGAACTAATTTGTTAACTGTCTCTGCCACTGAAAGCACTTTCTTATATTTAATTTTAAACCCTTCAGGTACAAATGTGTCTGTTTATTCTCTTTGTAGTTTCTCTTCCTTCTAGGAATATTTTAAAGTAGTTTATAAAGATTTATTTTTTATAAAGTGGTTTATAAAGGAGTCCTGGTGCGGTGCTGTGGATTAATTAATGTGCTAGACAGCAAAGTCGGTTTGAACCAGAAAGTTAGAGGTCGAAATTCAGCAGCTGCTTCTCCAAAACCCTACACAGGACGACTGTGAATTGAAACCACCTCGGTGGCACTAACAACAACGTGCTGTAACCTCATTGCCCATAAGACTAGAGAGCATTTAGGTATTGTATGGGGGTTTTCATTTTGTTTTGTTTTTGCAGAATTTAGGAATTTCTGATTTGGTAATTGAAAGTATTCTTAATTTTAGAAACAGTTTTCAAAATTTAAATATAAAAGCTTAAATAGTACAGTCTCCCAACTATTCCCAAATTATTGGCACATGAGTGAGAGCTCACATTTTGCTTCACCACTTGCCAGCTATTTCTGGATGGATAATACAATATTAGTAAGTTTATTAAAATTATATCAGAAGAAATGTTATCAGAGTTTTCTACACCAAGAGTCATTGGCCCCAATTAGTAGCCATTTATTATTATCAGTTTTTCTTTAATCATTGCTCCTTATAAAGACAACCATTTCTATGTGCAGTTATTACCCTTTTATAACAGAAGTTTCTAACACAACCCCAGTGTGCTTTGTGGATCTTGTGTAAAGAGTAGCATTTCAGGAAAAACCCTACAGAAAAATGTTTACACAAGTCTTAATTGACTAGTTGTGTTTAGTGGGAAAGAATGGGGTATTGCTTAGGAAGTTTGGCTTCATGGTTCAATTTTTTGTTGTTTTTTTAAACTTTTTATTGTGACTTTAAAAAAAAAAAAAAAAGTTACCCAAATAATGATTTTTAGATATGCAGAGTTAATGGTTGGAAGAAGAGTCAGGACAGGTCCAGAATATGAGAGGTAGGCAGAATAAGGGAGGATCTCAGTGGACTACGGGGGAAGGAGATGGGTGGAAGTTGAAAGTGGAGGCCTTAAGAAAGCTTAAACACAGAGTTCCCTCTCTATTGCCTTGTCTTCTCAAAAATCTCTGACTTTCACTTTTTATGGCAACTTCTCGTGCCGTTTTCTTATCAAAGATCTGTTGTTTGTGATGAATGCATTAAATGACCCAGTTCATTTGTTAAAATGAGGCTTTTTCATTTCCACAAAGATTGATCCTTTTGATTCTTTAATACCATGTTAAAACCGTGAGCAACTGTCCCATGAAGCCAAGAGTATGATGGGAGTGACCTGCTGTCTGCTTTTCCCCTGAAACTCTCTTGGAGATATGTTTATTGAGTTGATTTCCCTGGTCATGCAGGGGTTAAGCCCTCAACTGCTAACCGAAAGGTTGGTGGTTTGAACCCACTAGCTGCCCCACAGGAGCAAGATGAGGCAGTCTGCTTCCGGAAAGATCACAGTCTTAGGGGCCCTGTGGGGGCAGTTCTACAGGGTCACTGTAAGTCAGCATCAAGTGTACGGCAAGTGTTTGTTTTGTGTTATAAAAATTTCAACTGTAGTTTCCTTAGGTGAAAGTTATACTAATTTCATATTTCAGTTGGAGTTTTTGTTGGATTTCTGAGTATATGCTTTACATGTCGATATTATAGAAATTAAATTACAGCTAGCGTAGAGACGAATCACAGAGAAATGGTGAGATAAGCAGGGCTTTGTGATTGCGTGTCAGCGACCATTTCTTACATTTCAACTTGACGCCCTGTGTGAACCTTCAAACTAGTTTTTATAGAAATTGCTAAGCATTAGGAAACAGTTTTAAATCACTGTTTTTTCCTAAGCAAGCCTAGAACTCCATGCCCAGGTTGTTGTTAAGTGCTTCTGAGTCAGTTCCGATTCATAGCAACCCTGCGTTGGGTTTTCAAGGAGCAGCTGGTGGGTATGAACCACCAACCTTGCAGTCCAGTACTTTGTCCTACACCGCCACACCAGGACACCCAGCTTAGTGGTGATGAACTACTTACTCAGAAATAAGTACGGCCAAAAGCACTTTCTTCCATTTTTCTACAAACTCAGTTGCTAGAAGTTGTTCTCGTCTTGCTGGATACCCTGCCAGGAAGGGTCATTCTCTCTCCTTTAGTGGCTGCCTGTGAAGGTCAGCCCTCTCCAAATATGGCCCCCACTGTCTGCAGTCTGCCATGTTCAGCCCTGTGCATGGTCTTCAAATCACAGCTACCACTGGGGTCGTATCCTCCATTAGCAAGAAACACATCTGTTTGTCAGCAGTGGAAGCTGAAAGCCCATCTTCATAGCAGTGGTGGGAAGCTGACAGCACTATTTTGAATAGCTCAAAATGCTACCTGGAAAAAAACAAAAAAAGCTACCCAAATAATGATTTTTTAAAAAACTGAAGCCACTTACTTTAATGTGACCTGAAGATACAGTGAAGAGTCTATCTTTCTGTGCCATTGAAGCTTTAGTTTATCCCGAGTGTAAACATTGATTTCTACAAGGAACAGAGTGTGCTGTGGCTTGGAGCAGTCAGTTCTCTGTGGTGGAAGGTCTAAGCCATCAGCCACCCCTAAAGGCTCCTACGGGGGTGACTTCTTTAAATTAACTCTGAAGGACCCCAAACAACAGATTAAGTCACTTTGATTTGGAGGGATGGAAATACCAGACTGTGAGAACAGAGCACAGAAAGGCCGTTGGGACAGAAATGTGTGGATTTGCTTGTACAGTGAACTCTCCCTGGAAAATAGAGCTCCCCGCTCTCTGGGTGTGCTCCAGAAATGAGGTGAAGGAGTGGCCCCGGGCTGGAAGGTAAATGCCATTCATCTTTGCAGGGGTGTCCCTTCCAGGGCCAGTGCCTTGCTTAGCACTTGTATGGGAACACCGGGAATCCTTTTCATTTTACTGTTGGCTCTAATTCAGCCTTTGTACAGTTAACAGAGCCTATGTACACATGTCAGGGACACTCTGGGATCCCCCTGGAGCTAAGACATCTTCACATTTCTGACTTTTTATGAATAACTTTCAGTTTAATCATATTAAAGTTGGAGCACATGGTTGGTATGACACAAACTCTTTGACGTTTATTTCTGGAGGATGTACTATATGATTACCTTTTATAAGTATTCTATAGGACCCTAAGGAGAATACATATTCTCTAGGTATTGATTGTAATAGTTTGTCTATCTCTATTACTGTTGTTGCTGTTAAGTGTCATCAACTTGGTTCCAACTCGTAGCGACCCTATACAAAGTGTTTCCTAGGAGTAGTTGATAGGTTTGAACTGCTGACCTTGTAGTTCACAGTCCAGTGCTGATCCTACAGTGCCACACCAGGAATCCATCTATTTATGTAGCTGCCTATATATACAAATGTGTGTTGTTGTTAAGTGCCATCGCGTAGGTTCTGGCTCATGGGAACTCTGAATAGGGTTTCCAAGCAGCAGCTGGTGAGTTTGAACTGCCAACCTTGCGGTTCAAATCAATCTTGCGATTGAGTGCTTCTCCTACAGTGCTGCACCAGGACTCCTGTGTATATTTGTGGTGGTGGTTATGTGCCGTGGACTCAGTTCCGACTCATAGTGACTGTGTACAGGGTTTCCGAGGCTGTAAATCTTTATGGGAGCAGAAAGCCTCATCTTTCTCCTGCATAACAGCTGGTAGTTTAGAACTGCTGACCTTGCAGTTTGCATCCCAATTCATAACGACTATGCTACCAGAGATCAAGCTTATTAATTGTGGTGTTCCAATCGTCTGTAAAATTCACTGCCTTCAAGTTGACTCTGACTCATCAACCCTACAGGACAGAGTAGAACTGTTCCAAAGGGTTTCCGAGACTATAACCCTTAAGGAAGTAGAGGGTCTCATCTTTCTTCTGTGCAGAGGCAGGTGGTTTACCTAATGCCTAAGCTACTATGCCACCAGAGCACCTTAAAAATCTTCTATAGCTTGGCGAATTTTTTGCCTGATATAACAGTTTCTGATACAATTTAAACAAAATTTTCCATTTATCCTTATGCCATTTTTTGCTATATATCTTTTAAGGCTATTCGATGGGTACCTATAAACTCATGACTTTGATTTCTTCATGGTATATGATTCCTTTGTTTCAGTGCATAATGCCCATCTTTATTTCTCTTTATGCTTCTGACTTAAGTTCTATTTTTTCCAGGTAGTAATATAATGACATCAGCTTTCTTTCACTTACCATTTGCTTGTTATCTATTTTTAATTCTTTATTTTTAAATGTTTTGTGTGTTTATTTGTTTATATGAGTCTCTTTTAAATCATGTATGATTGAATTTTTTAAAATCTAATGATAAACTCTGCCAATTGGCATATGTATTCATTTCCTGTTGCTATATAATAAACTTGGAGGCCTGGTGTGGCGCTGTGGGTTAATGTGCCAGACTGCAAAGCCATTTGAACTGCAAGGTCAGCAGTTCAAGCTCACCAGCTGTTCCTCGGAAACCCTATACAGGGTCACTGTGGGTCAGAACCAACTCAATGGCACTTAACAACAACAACAACTATAATAAACTTACTGGCTTACCATTCTAGAGGTCAGATATCTAAACTATGCTGGTAAGTCTGCAGTCCTCTTTGAGACTGTAGGAGAAAATCCA